GAGAGGAGGAATGGGAGGGAGAGGGAAAGGAAGAGAGAGGGAGAGAGAGGGAGAAAGAATGACAGGAGTCTTAGTGTGGCGCTGTAGGATAAGCACTGGACTGTTAATCACAAGGTTGGTGGTTTAAACCCACCAGCCACTCCATGGAAACCCTGTACAGGATTGATATGAGTCAGGACTGCCTGGCTAACACTTAACAACAAAACAAGAAAGACCAGTTAATACAACTATTATTTAAATTTAGGCACTGACACTAAAGTCAGTGATGATGAAATTGAATTCTACTAATTTTTTCAATCTGAAATTGATCAATCATGCAGTCAAGATGTATTGATCATTACTGGTGATTGGAAAGCAAAAGTTGGAAACAAAGAGGAAGGATCCGTAGTTGGAAAATATGGCCTTGTGATAGAAATGATGCTGGAGATCCCATGATAAATAAGAGTTTTTCAAGACCAATGACTTATTGCAAATACACATGGACCTCACCAGATGGAATACACAGGAATCAAACTGCCTACATCTGTGGCAAGAAGAAACAATGCAGAGCTCAGTACTATGAGACAAAATAAGGCAGGAACAGACTGTGGAACCATCAACTGCTCATGTGCAAGTTCAGCCTGCAGCTGAAGAAAATTGAAGTTCGTAAGAGTCAAAATATGACCTTGAATATATAGCCTACCTGAATTTAAAGACCATTTTCAAGAACACATTTGATGCCATAGGCACTAATGACTGAAAACTAGAAGAATTGTGGAACATCAAGAACATCACACATGAAGAAAGCAAAAGGTCACTTAAGAGACAGGAAAGAAAGAAAAGGAAAAAAATTAATGTCAGAACAAGATGCTAAAATCTGCTCTTGAGCATAGAGAAGCTAAAATCAACTGGCAGAAATTATGAAGTAAATAGATGAACAAAAAATTTCAGAGAAAAGCTCAAGAAGACAAAGTATTATAATGAAATGTGCTAAGATCTAGAGTTATGAAACCAAAAAGGAAGAACATGCTCAGCATTCCTCAAGCTGAAAGACCTGAAGTAAAAATTTAAGCCCGACTTACAATATGGAGTACTGGTATGGCACTGTAGAAAAATCACTGAACTGCTAACTACATGTCAGCAATTCAAACCCAACAGTCACTCCTTAGAAACCCTATACAGGGTTGTTATGGGTCAAAACTGACTGGACAGCACTTACAAAAAGAAAAAAAAAAAGGGGGGGGGTAAAGTACTGAATGATGCAGGAAGCATCTAAATAAGGTGGAAGGAATACACAATCAATGTATCTAAAAGAATGGGCCAATGCCCCACCATTTTAAGAGGTAGCATATGCTCAAGAGCCAATGACTGAAGAAAGACATCTAAACTACACTGAATGCACTGGAGAAAAAACAAGGCTTCAGGAATTGATGGAACCCAAACTGAAATATTCCACCAACTAATGTAGTGCTGGAGGCCCTCACGGGAAATCAAATTGACTACATATGCCAAGAAATTTCAAAGAGCGCTACCTAACCAACCAAGTGGCAGAAATTCATATTTAAGCCCATTCCAAAGAAAATACCATTACCTACAAAAAGTAAAATTGTGAGGAAGAGAATACAAAACAGTTGCTGAAGTATGAGAGGGAGCTGCCAGAAATTCCAGCAAATTCAGATGAGGAAATGAAACATGAGCTATCATTGCTGATGTCAGATGGATCCTAGCCAAAAGCAGAGAATACCAGGAAGATGTTTACTTGGGCTTTATTGACTATGCAAAGGCATTCGACTGGATCACAACAAACTATGGATAACAAAGCAAAGAACACTTAATTGTACTCATGAGGAACTTGTATATAGACCAAGAAAGAGTTGTTATAAGAGAAAAAGGGGATGCTGCATGTCTTAAAATCAGAGAAGTTGTGCACCAGGGTTGTATATCCTTTCACTGTACTTAATTTGCATGGTGAGCAAATAATCTAAGAATATGCAAAGAAGAATATGACAACAGGATTGGAAGAAGACATGATGAAGTAAGAAATGGCTGAAGTTGTCTAAGACTTCATTTTGCTTGCATTCCACAATCAATGCTCATGGAAGTGGCAGTCAAGAAATAAAAAAAGAGAAAGGGACCCACTACCAGCAAGGAAGAAGAGTCAAAAGTGGAGTGTGTCCTTTGGGGTTCCTGCACTGTGAAGCTCCTAGATCCAGATATGACCAATGTCAACATACATGGAAATCTCTAAGGGAGCCTTGGCCTACAGATGCTGAAAGGAGGAGGCAAGGACATTCCCCAAGAGCTGGTACTCTGAATTTGGACTTCTAGCCTCCTAAACTGTGAAAAAATACACTTCTTTTTGTTGTAAACATCTACTTGTGGTATTTTTGATACAGCAGCACTAGATAACGAATGTACCCACCTATTTTGTGCAT